ATCCAAAGTTCAACAAAATGTGACCTTCTTTACTCTGACATCCATTGAGGTGGAATAAGTGCCATGCAGGGCATTTTGGAGAGTTGATGACCGTGCAAGAATGAAAAAGCCTAGGGCTGGCTTCATGGCTCAGTGGATAAAGCACTTGCTGTGTAGGCAAGGGGACATGAGTTTGGATCCTCAGAACTCAGGGAAAGCCTGGATGGTAGCATGTCCCTGTAATCGCAATGTTCCTATGGGAGGAACTAGCTAGCATGGTTGATGCAGTGATGAGTAAGAGACCCTGCGTCAATCAAAGTGTAAGGCCAGGGCCAACATCAGAGGTTGCCTTCTGACATCCACATGTGCACTGTGCAGCATTCACACTCATGTGCATGAATACACACACACACACACACACACACACACACACACACACAAACATACACACATTCTAAAAAGAGAATGAGGGTATTTCATATCTCTTGCTGGCCTCCACACTTCTGTACACCACTATCTCCTAAAGACCCTTAACCCAGATGAGGAAGAACATCTAAGAATGAGCACGTTTTGGTGAGGAATAGGAAGAGGTTAGGAATAAGAAGTGCATTATAAGAATTATAAAACAGTATTGAGAGAAATCTTATTTCTTTCAAGTTTGACAGAAATCTGTGCCACTGGCCTCAATCTTCCATAAAATACGCCCATATGACCATTGTTACAAGGAAAAGATTGGATTGGTGGAAATGGGGACTTTAAAGTGAATTCTTTCTTTTCTCATTTCAATGTTGTAGAGATTAAAAAGCCTTTGAGCAAGATTACTATTGAGGAAAAAGTTTATAGAAATCATACAGAAGTTTTTAATTCACACAGCAATGATGATGTTATACTCTGAGTTATGGAGTGGAGAATATTTCTGTAAAAGTTAAAATGTTTAAAGTTAAAAATGGATTTATTCAGTATCTTCAAAATAAATGGTTTCAACGACACTTTGGAAGGTGGTAGTGAGAAGTTGAAAGTAAAAACCTAAGAGCTGTATGAAATAAAGAAATTCTAGGAGGGATATGGCATTCTTTTAAACCTCGTTGTCCGGGAGTTTTGGAAATGAGAAGAACTTGTAGAAAGATGTAAAATAAGAGAAAAGTTGCATGGCTCTTTACCATCTTTCCTTCACAGTCCACAACTGCACTTAACTTCATCTTTAGCGCTCGTTATCAGTTAATGCTATTCTCTCAGCCCCGTCTAACAAACCAATAAGGGATTTTGGTCCCGTGAAAACAGAACACGCTGATTTAGTCCCCAGAGAGAATTTTCATGTCTTAACAAGTTGGCTTAGACTTGTTGATTAGTCTCTCTCCTCTGGCCAGATGGGGCCACCAGAAGCAGCAGATGTCATCCTCTAGGCTTTGTGTGCGCTCCCCGCTCTGACTCCTTTTTGGTGCCTATCTTGTGAAGCAAAGAAGTGACAATGAAAAAGCTGTATATCCCAACAATCGGGAGGCTGAGGCAGGAGGACAGTTGTGAGTTTGAGGCTAGTCTGGGATATACAGCAAGTGACAGGTCTTCAGGCCCTGTATCAAAAATAGACAAATAGATAAATAAATAAGGGAACAAGAAGAAAGTCCTTCATGGGTGAGGACTGCATTGGTCTATTATTTTTCCACAGAAAACACACACACACACACACACACACACACACACACACACACACACACACACATCTCTCTCTCTCTCTCTCTATATATATATATATATATACACACACACATATATATATACATATATATACATATATATGTATATGTATGTATGTATATATATATATATATATATATATATATATATATATATATATATATATATATATATATATATATATATATATATATCTCCCTTGTATCCTGTTGGAAACGGATTGGTTCTGGGGTGGAGACAGCCATTGTCTTCAGTTGTGTGCCCAACAGCGAGGCCACCAGGTTGCAACAGATAGTGCCAAGCCGTGGCTACACAGATGCCCCTGGTTAAAATCAGAAAGTCACAAAACAAAAAAGAGGCATGACTGTGGGAAAGAGGGGAGGAGGTGAGGAAGGGAGAGAGGGTGGCAGGGTGAGGAGATAAGGGAAGGTTGCGGATGAGAGTCAACTACACGCATTTATGCAGATGTCAAAGAACAAATAAGAACACTCATTCTGAGAATCTTCTTTTGACTGCAGTTCTCCATTTCCTTCTCTAAGATCTGACCACTTCTCCCTTCTTTCTCCCGCTCTTCAATTTGCTATAACACCAAATGCTCGTTCTTAGATGTTCTTCCTCGTCTGCACTAAGGGTGTTTAGGAGATGGTGATGTATAGAAGGACAGGGGTCAGCAAGAGAGCTGAAATACCCCTAAAACCCCAAGAGCCCCCAAACAGGCATGGCAGCTCGAAGATGCTCTGGGGCTTGAGTCTTAGAAGGGATAGTTACTAAAAGAGGAGGGTCTTTAACACCTGTGCGTCCATTTCTTAGGGAAACAGAAGTCATCATTCACTCATAATCAATAAACACATGGAGTAGCACTGTGGGCCAGATGCGTCAGATGTCAGGGACACAACCATGGACCAGATGAGGAGGTTCCTGTCCCCCTGGAGTTAGTGGTGAGGAGAAGACCAATATAGTAGACAAATACTGTCTAGAGTGCCATGGACTCTGAGGTGGCCATACCAGGTTTTGTGGAACACAGCCCCATCTCTGATTTCCGAGGTCACTGGAGGCCTCTTGGAGGAAGTGCCATATGAGTTGATATATGAGTTGACGGGGCTGTGGTTACATGGCTATAAATATAGGTAAGAGGGTTGGTAAAGATCCCCAAATGGAAAAAGACTAAACTGAGTAGTTCTGAAGTGCAGACATGAGAAGTGAAAAGAGGCATCGGGGCAGTGAAGGAGGGAAGGAGAAACTGAGTAAGAAACATTCACAGAGACCAGGAGGTAGAAGGTCTCAGCTGGCATGTTAAAATGTTTTCCCTAAAGCTAATGTGAGATGTTCTGGGTTTCCTAGCAGGGTCATGACATGACATGACGCCATTCCCTTTCATGAAGATGTCTGTAGTTTTGATGTGGACTCTGGCCTATAGCTTCCCAAGGCTGGTCCAAAGACAGACTTATGAGGATAAGCACAGAGGAGGAATGATCTGTGGTCAGGGAAAATGTCCAAGATGTCCCCCACTGCCTAAACAGAGATGTGGGTAGGGAATGGGCTTTGGGGGGATGGTCTGGGCAGCCTTGTAGCCGATGGCATGGAAGGTGTACAGGAGGGAACAGGGGAACTTCTAATGGGTTGTATCTGAGGTTACTCCTCCTTCAGGAGCACATGGCAGCAATAACCAGCCTTCCCTCACAGACTCATCAGTTTTGTGGTCTGGGCCCAGGAAAGTCTAGACGCCTACTGCCAGTGCCTCTTTTTGCAGACACACCCAAGGGTGATAACAGGAAGACAAATTGATGGTTTCCGGTGTTTTGGACACCAAGGGATCCATATTAGAACAGTGGGTGTTGATGGACTTCCTCTTAAATGTCTTTTCTTGTAACTGCTAAGCCAAATGCACCGCTCTTCCCTTGTTTGGTGTCTGGGTGACTGACCACACAATACTTCTTTAAGTACTCTTAGTACCTTCTGCATGTCTCTTCTCTGAGCAGAAAGCAGACACACCATTTTTCTTTCTAACCCAAAGAATGCCACGAATTCCATACGTCTGCCTGCCCTGCCATGTGTTTGCAAAGTTGCCTGTGTTCTTTTCCACGGGTTATGAATAGTGTGTGAAATCTGTGCACATTTGCTTGTGGTAAAAAGATAATGATGGCATTATTTTAATTTTGGGTAACAGCCAGGAGAAGGCCATATGTACGAATAAGTGAGTGGAAAATTTTGGGTTGTGTTTTGTTGCAGCATGGTCAACAATTCCCTGTTATATGTAGCTCCCATATTCAGGAGCAGTTACCAGCTCAGGCTGTAGGGAGGAATTATCAAGCACATTCCAGTGAAAGGCAGATGCTTGCACAGCCCCAAGAGATTCCAATTGCTAGTGTTTGGGATGAATTAGAAGAGTTGATTTAAACTTAACATCAAATCCAGTGCATATATGGGCTTATCTGGGGTTGCCATATAAAGTCTTTACTAGGAAGTTCCAAGTTTCCTTATGATGTAACATATTCGAGTCTGCTGAGAAAAATTGACAATAAGGCAAATTAACAGGAGTGAGAAAATGCTATGAACTTTGGTGGTGTCACAAACAACACTGGATCCTTCAGAATGAGGATCCAAAGAAAGATCTAGGGTGAACCATCCATTTTAATGGGCAGCTTCGGAGAAGCAGAGCGAGTCATGTGGCCCTGTGACTGGACAGAAAAGGTTTGAGCCAACAAAAGATGATGAAGGGGAGGATGCTCACATATCTATCCAGATTCTTTCTGGCTTTCATTTGTGATGTTTTTTTTCCACTGGGGTGTGGGGTGGGACCCTTTAGGAAATAGGGGATGAGGGTCTTATGACCTTTAGTTAAAAAAATACTTTGGAGAATTCCTTCACAGACAGTTCTATACAGAAATATGATTGGTGGTATTTAGGGACAGTAATTTAGCTTTTATGGCTAGATTTGAGGGAAAGGGTTGTTGGGTTCTGTGATCTGATCTTGGGAGGAGGAATTCTAACTTCTGAGTCTTCTTTGGGCTGTGGAGAGAGATGAGGGATGAGAGCTTAGAGGGCAGGAGGAGGGCAAGGAGAAAGAAGTATTGCTCCCAAAGCCTTCACTTTGAAGTATGCTTTTTCTGAACCCCAATACATTTATAATACAAACATGTATTTTTTTAATGGCACAGAATTATTATCTGGTTAGATATAAACATGTTACACTAAACTTATGGTTCTTTATTATATCAGCAACTTGTCTAAATTTGTGTAGGAAGACAGTTGAAGAGGGTGAATGTAAAGCTATTGAGCATCTTTCAAATACTAAGGTGTGTTTTTCTTTTTTAAAAAAAATGTAGGCCAGCGCTTGTGACGTGGTGAAACTCAGGGGATAATGTTCTGCAGTCAGAAGAAGCTGCCTGGTAAGGCTTGAGTTTTTCAGATTACACAAAACAGGAACTGTGATCTTATTTTATATTAGAGGCTTGATTTATTCAGAGAACACATACATTGGTTTAAGTTAATAAGGAAGCCAGAGAAAGATGATGCATTAGGGTCAGATTTGAAACACAGAACTGTCTAATTCCCTATGGGCCTATGTGGGCCATTCTTACTTAAAGTACCACAGAGAGTATTCATTTTTCATTTCATCTCTAGTCAGTAAATGACAACTACTATGTAGTTTTTATTTCAGTGGACATTCTATATTTTATTACTAAGATTTTGTTCATTTTTGACCATAGTTTTTGAAGGTAAAAGGTTGAATTTGAGTTTATTCAGTGTCTGTCTCTCCTTCTGACAACATCTCTGGCAGGTGGCTGGCTCCTGCATCTGTAGTTATCTCATGATGCATCAGCTCCCTTGTAGGACACATGGCAATGTTCAGCCTCATAATGAGCTGAATTCTGTCCCAGTGCAGTGTCTATCTGAAGGCTTTGTTTGTGCCCTCGGTAGGGGGTCTGTCGATATTCCCAATGCCAATATAAGACTCTAGACTTCCTCCTGTCCTTTGTCATTGTCATATGAAAGCCTTCACACAAATCATTGGTACCATCTTTGTAGCGTAAACACAAGGTCAAACAGCCCAAATGTGGCTGCTTGTCTTATGTTAAGACCATGGTCCAAGATCCAGGCCCGAGTCAACTAATATTTGAAATCGTTTCTATGTACACATGAATATAGACATGGAAAAGTGGGCAAAATTTTATAAATTGAAGTGAAGAGGGAGAGGCAGAAAAAGAAGGCAATGGAGGGGGTGTACGCATGCTGAGCAGGGGATTCCTGCTGAGAAGCAGCTGAATCTGATGAAAGAGGCCTGGGCCTGCTCTGCCTGTTCTTGAATCTGGCATAAAGCAATTTGTGGTTTCCTAGCCACGTCTGCAAAGTGCCATCCGCCATCTCCGTATTCCCAGACTCACTGCCAAGCCTTTGACATTAGGGAATTAGACAGTTCTGTGCTTCAGATCTGACCCTAAGGCGTCATCTTTCTCTGGCTTTGCTTCCTTATTTGTAAAATGGGGCTGGGAATAGCATGTACTTTTGAGGGTTATAGCATATTGTTTTGAGAATTCCTGAAATAGTGTCTGTGAAATACTTTAGGTTGAATCTAGCTTTTTAACAAATAATCAATAAACATCAGCTTTTGTCATTATTGTTATAGTAGGCTTTAAGTGTCCAGTCATGAATCTATTTGAATAGAAAACAAAATGCCAGGGGCTTAATCTAAAAGTTTTATTTGTAATTTGTATAATCCAGTCCAGGTATACCAGAAGGATGAATTTTCTGTGAAGCTATAGTAGCCATAGAGGGAAAAAAGTTTCCAGTAAATTGAATTTTCCAACTCCTTGGACCTGATGAACATATTTATATTGACTTATGAAAGAGGAAAACAAACCCCAAACCCTTTAGCATTTGTCTGAATCCTCTAACTTCATTTCCAAGCTCTTTTGTCAATACACACACACAGACACACACACAGACACACACACAGACACACACACACACACACACACGCATGCGCATAATATTGTGGGAAGATTTTTTTTCTCTTCAATTTTCTGTTTAAATATCTACAAACCCCAGAAGCTGCAGGTCAGCAGGAATCCCTGCTCAGGGTGCATTTCTCAGTTGTATCAGGATGTGCTCTTGGAGTCAGATCAGAAAGTCTGGAGGCTGGACCCATAGCTTTAAAGCTCTCCAATCATCGTCCTTCTCTGTCTTTAGTGAATTGCTCTGGCTTCCAACTGACCAGATTTTGATGAATTAAAGAAAGAAAATTAAGGAAGGGAAAGGCCTACACTATTGATTTAGCTTGAAGGAGCATTCTGAAAAATTTGACTCCCCCTGCAGAAAAATTAATAACAATCTCACACCCAAAATGATACTTCATGTTTGGAGACTTTCTTTCGTATTTGGATGCATTCCAAGCTTACTTAAGAACTCAGCCTATGCCATCAAGGTTTCACGAAAGGGACCCCAAGTTCTCTGTGGTATGTCATTGTTTAATGACTTTGGGAGCATACAACTAAGTGTCTGAATGTTGTCTTCAAAACCACATTGGCCAAAGGAAAAATATGCAGGGTAGGTAATTGAGGGACAGTTGTATTTATTAATTCTGCACTCACTCATGGGTCCTAGGAGGACCTCCTACTTCCCCCTCTTGCTATTGGTCTGGATACAGAGTTCCTGCTCTCATTAAGTAGTGAACAACACTAAGTGATTAAGATCCTCTCACAGACAAACTGATTAAACAAAGAGGCATAAGTGACTTGCGCTCTTTTCCTGACCAGAAGTGAGAGAGAGCGAATTTGTAATTTATTGTGCATTATGATGGAAAAGAGCCCAGATTAGGAAGAAGTAAGCATTGCCTTCCAGGACCTGGAGCAGAGTCGATGATCATTCGCCAATTTTCACTGGAAATGTTCAGAGAATGACTTCAAGACTCTCTCGGGAAGTAATGCAAGCATTTGGAGGATTCTCCCCCTTCACCTATTTTGACTTTAGTTTTTTATTTTTAAAAGACTTTTTTTGTATGCATTTTTATTGTTTGAAAATTTCATACATGCATATAAATTTCATGACACTTTTCTGTGTAAAAAGTGCTTCCAGCACATTTTCTAGTTAAATGATCACCACACAAAGTGTTGGTACTCTTCTGAGGAGTCACAGCTAAGGAGACAGGCTCTTAACTGAAGTGCTCCTGGGCAGCTGTGGGACTTAGCCCTTGCCTCAGCATCTCACCTCTTCCCGTCTGGGGGCTTTTCTTTTCTTTTTAAATCTAACTCATTTTATGGGACCTAAAATCTTGTGTATAGGAAATAGTATCTTGATTGTAGTGAAATACTCTCAGCAAATAGTGTTTTAGAAGTTCCTCTCCCCTTCTACATTTGTGTCTTAAGTGATTTGACAATGCTTTCGGATGTATTGAATGTGTGTTGTCCCACTCCCAAGCACAGTGAGTTTCTTTCTTTCTTTTCTTTTTTGCTTTTCCAGACAGGGTTTCTCTGTGTAGCCCTAGCTGTCCTGGAACTAGCTCTGTAGACCAGGTTGTCCTTGAACTCACAAAGATCCTCCTGCCTCTGCCTTCCAAGTGCTGGGATTAAATGTGTGTTCCATCATCGCCTGACAGTTTTTTTTTTGAAGTTTTAAACTAAAAGTGGATTTAGTAAATCATTAGCCCCACCAGATAATTACTTTTGGGGGGTAGGGTAGGACTGGGGACTATAAGCTAATCATCCTTAAACAAGGTAAAACACACCCACAATTCTCACTGTTCTAAGTGACCACTTCCTTATTTGGTCACTGTGGAGAAAGTAGCAAGCACTGGGCAGAGACAAGTGTTTTTCCAGCACTTCATTGATGATCTACTTGTTTGAGCAAAACATCAAATATTATTGGCCTTTGCAAATGGGGGGGGGTGTGAAGGTTGTTTTTTCTTATTTTAAAGATTTATTTAATTTTATCATACATACACACATATGTTTTTTTTGTGTGTGTGCATGTATGTCTGTGTACCACATGCATGGTGCCTGTAGGGACCAGAAGAGGGCATTAGATCCCCTGTAACTGGAGTTAAGACAGTTGTAAGCTGCCACATGGGTGCTGGGAATCAAACTCTGGTCGTCTGCAAGAGCAGTCAGTGCTCCTAACTGGGGAGACAACTTTCCTGCCCCAGAGTGGAGGCTATTTTTGTCATCTACATGGAGTAGGATATTGAAGGCATCACCTAATTTTATATTCTGAAGTGGGCTCAGAACCAGGTCTAAGAGAATTCTTCCTTTTTTTGTGGTACTTCCTGGAATCACCAAGGTGCTTAAAGTTGATGTCCTGTCCAGTCACATGTCTCTGCTGGTCTCCTAAGCTGCCACAAAACATGTGAACCCAATTACCAACTTGACTTGTGTCTTGCGAGTCTTACATTCAACCAGGAACATGGCAGAGTGACTCACTAGCTGTTTTCTAGGTCAATTTCAATCTTGTGGTCACATAGCATTTAGCACAAATGAGGTTGAGAAAAAAATAATTAGGATGATTGTTTGAAGGAGACTCAGCTCACTTATTCACCTGAGTACCCTAAATCACATTTTTTGATTTAGTTGGATGAGCAGAAAATGGGGACAAAAGCCCTCTGGGTTGTGTTTGGGATGATATCCTCTGAGTTGTTGAGAAACACATCTCCAGAAGCTTTACCCCTCATGTATTTATGTCAAACAATGAATTCTTTATAAGGCCTTCTTAGAAAATTAATGTCTGAGCCAAGAGCTATTGATATTTTGCTTTTCACGAGAAGTGTGTTTTTTGGTTGTTGTTATTTAACAGATGGTAAGATAAAAATCAATAGTGGGGCTGGGGAGACGGCTCAGTGGGGAAAGGTGCTTGCAGCACAGGCCTGGTGACCTGGGTTTGATCCCTGGAACCCACGTAAGCCTAGACAGAGAGAACTGACTCCACAAAGTTGTCCTGTGGCTTCCTCACGCACACTGTGGCATGTACACACACACACACACACACACACACACACACACACACACACACACACACATACACACACACACACTCATGCACATGCACACACACATACACATGTGCACACACATACTCACGCACACACACATACACACACGCACACACACACCACATACACAATAATAAATACAAACTTCAAAGGCAATAGACACGCAGCTTTTCTGCAGCACTCGGGGCTCACCTTGCGCAGGTGTGTGGGTCACGGCTTTGGTTGGTCGTTGTCTTTGCTTTTGTATGTTCTCTACTCCACCTCAATGTTGAAATTTAAGCTATTATTATTATTATTTTTTGTTATACATTCTTAAGTGATTGGCTTGGAGATGGTCTTTTATGGAGACCATTTTACTGAATTCTGATTGGAATCTGGTGGGCCTTTCCCTTTGAAGACTGACTTTTT